AGCCGACACGAACAGGACGCAGCTACCTCACCTGACGTAGCTACCTGACCTGACTCAACTACCCGTGCAGACATAGTGGTCAGTGTGTACAGGCCAGACCTAGTCCTCCGAGTGAACGTGACGAGGTGCTCGCCAGTGCGGGAGTCCGTACAGATCGCCACTAGCTCTCCCCCAGGCTGGGTGACTGTGACCAACTGGTCCTGGAGGACAGCAGTAGCTACCAAGTTCTTAGCGAACGAGGGGAGGTGGAGACCTGTGAGGGAACCGGAGGGGGCTGCTGGACATGGGAGAACAGTGGAGCCACGTGCAACGACTGGGCCACCAGAGGGGTCGACCAGAGTGACAGGGATCGGGACTGTGACTGTGGTGCAGTCGCGGAAGAAGCAGTGAGACGCGCCTGAGTCTAGAATGAAAGGGTGCAAGGACCTGGAGAGGTTCGAGATGGAGCGCTTGGCAAGCCTCAATCGCGGATGGTCGGTGGCGACTTTCGAGGTCGATGGTCATCCACCACAGCGCCTGCTTTTCCTGAACTCGGCTCAGGTAAGCCGTGCCTCTAGCATTGTTTATACCAGGCAGTTGCATGGTTTTGATTGTTAATGTTTTATGTCATTTCCGCCATGTTTGTGTAGGATTAGCCGCACCTTCCATGCCACTGACGATGCCCTTGCTCTTGCATGTTATTCCCACCCTACAACAAGCATTCGCTGAACTGTTTGGGCATCCCAACAATGCGCCCAGGTTCAAGCTCAAGGCGCGTGTCGATGAGGACCCGGAGACAAGCGACCGTCGCTATACCACGTCGGAAACAGGAACGTGGTGGAATGAGGCTCAGGTAAGTAAAGTCTCTTTTGTGACTCTAAACCCGATTCGTGATCAAGCCTCTTAAGCTGCGCTTGACTGTATGAAGCCCCTGGAGGGTGTCATGTTCATATCTCTTGATATGAAAGCTGTCCAATGCTGGCGATACTAGTTACCTTGCTGGTGTTTGAACTCCTGCTGCTGCCCGTGTGCTTGTGCTACTTTTGCTGGCACTTGGTTGTTTATGATGCTTCTACATGATTGGTCAATATGCGCTCGTTGCCTTTTTGTCGTGCATTGCAGGAACACTTTGGATGGTCCGAAGTCGTGGGGGAGTCATCCTCTATTCGGATGATGACGCTTGGCAACATCACCCAGGCCTAGCGATGGGGGAAAGCCGGGCACGCGCTACTTGCCCTCCTTCTGTGAAAGTTTAAAAGAAAGAAGAGGGTTGCACTAGCAAGAATGAGGATACAAATAGCAAACCCTAGAAGGGTTGTACTCGCTATAGAGCACCCCACTACAGGCTAGAGCATAATATTCTGACACACCCCCATAGCCAAAGTGGGGTGTAATCAGCAGAGCAAGTAAAGCAGTACAAGCTCAGGGTGGATCACAATGTCACCACACATTCTGAGCACAAGTTCAAGAAGCAATAATTCAAAGTTCACAATTATGAGCAAAGCTAGTGGTAGTCACAGAGGGCAAGTGAGGAGGAGGAGAGACTGTGGGGGAGAGAAGATGGGAGGCGACTGCTGACGCTGCAGACACACAGACGAGCTGCTGGCTCAGTGGCTACCGAAGCAAAGGCCCGGACTACAGGAGTAACTGGCTCCGCGGCTAAAAGTAGCGGCAGACGAGCAACTGACCCACAGGCGACTGGCGACTACCGGAGATTGTAGCCTCCGGACTGCTGGTGCTGCTGACGACAAGACTGCTGCCTCCACTTAACCTCCCCCAGCTGCCCAACACCCCTCTCACACACCCGCTGCTACACCGCTAGCTCCACTCCCCCTTCACCCCCCCTTAGTACCACTCCAACGGCTCCAACAAGTCCACCCCCCCTCAGCGGCAGCTGCAGCACAGGGAGACGGAGGAGGAGGAGGAGCAGGGAACGGCACACAGTGGCTTCACCCCCATACCCCTCACCCCCAAACCCTAATTCAGGAGAACGGGCTGTAGGAGGGGTGGGGCGCCAGTAGAAGTACGGGGGACAGCGGGGAGGGCAGGGGCAGCGAGGAAAGGGCCGCCCACGGGCCTGGCACAGCCGCCCGAACCCCGCGCGGGCCTGGCGCAGCCCGTACGGGCCGCGCGCGGGCCTGGCGCAGCCCGTACGGGCCGCGCGCTGGCCTGGCGCAGCCCGTACGGGTCGCGTCCGGGCCTGGCGCAGCCCCTACGGGCCGCGCGCAGCCTGTACGGGCCGCGCGCAGGCCACGACGGGCGACGGGGGGCGACGCGCGGGTCCCCGTCGCCCGTCACAGCGCCTCCCGAGGGCGACGCGCCGAGTGACGGGGCAGAAGCCCGCCGCGCGCCTCGGGGCGCACAGCGGGCAGAGAACCGCCGCGGGCCACGGGGCGCACGGCGGGCAGAAAACCGCCGCGCGCCTCGGGGCGCACGGCGGGAAGAAAAACTGCCGCACGCCACGGGGCGTGCGGCACAGAGGGTAGCAGTGGAAGTTGCAGCGGAAGCAACGAGGTGGTGAGACCACCCACAGGATCGATCCAAGGGGATCGACCTGCTCTGATAGCATGTGAAAGTTTAAAAGAAATAAGAGGGTTGCACTAGCAAGAATGAGGATACAAATAGCAAACCCTAGAAGGGTTGTATTCGCTATAGAGCACCCCACTACAGGCTAGAGCATAATATTCTGACACCTTCCTATCCCCTCTGCTGCAATGACTGCCGTGGAGAAGGTGATGCTCTTCCAGCGATGCGTCATCACCGTGCTGCAGCCGCTTCTTGATGGCATGGAAAGGCATGACTCGGTTTGCATTTTGCAATTTCGTCACTCAATCACCTGCATAGTATGCAACGTGTCTTTGTACATCCATTCCCCATCGCCCCTGTTCGTACATGCACAAAGTCGTCAACACGCATTTATGTTGCCACTCTCCCTGTTCCTTGCAGCGAATTCCGTCTCAGGGACCCTTTCGGTGATTGGAAAATCGTGCGGCCCCTGCTGTACGCCTGGGTGTGTGACTACTCCGAGAGAGACAAGATCACTTGCACACTCTCGCATGCCGTGCATCATCTGCTATGCTGCAAAAGTGAGCAAGCGTGCCATGTGCGCGCCTTCAAATCCATTGTTGAATGTCGCCTGAATGAACTCATAAACTCACCACCCCATGTTTCGGTACGCGGTATGCTGTGTGACTCAAGTAAGGTAAAACTGTTTCCTTACAATTATAAATACGTACATGACGTAGTAGCTCATAGTTGCATTCAGTGTTTAATTTTAAACTAAGACTTTTAAGGCTTATTTATCGTAACGGCACGTTTCTGTGCCATGAACATGGTGCTGGTGCTGTTATGTTGGAGCCATGTCGGCTTCGAGTCCAACAGTGAGCCAGCTGGCAATGAAACGGCGACTAGAAGGCATGGTGAACGAATATATTTGGCGTCGCACTTACTCAGTTCGCTGATTAGAAAACTGACCACGACGAATCATGAAGAAATCGGGTCAGTGGATTCAGGCTTCAGTGCATATTTTGCGCTGTTGTATTACATTTCCGTGTTTCCACCCAGTTCCGATGTGTTTAAACCGTATTAGCTAGTATAGAAACTACCCAGAATCTCAACGAACTTGCAGTTTCTGGGTCACAGTGCATCTTGGCTGCCCTGGTCGCTGCGTGAGACAAGATACGTAAGGGCGCTGTTCTGTAGGCGTTAAAATTCCAAAAACTGGGTCCGCAGAATCTTCGTTGATAAGTGCTCTTCTGCCTATCAAGGTTTGGTGATAAGAAAGGTCCTGCCGAACCTGTTTGCGCCAAATTTAACGCATCAGCCTGCAAAACGCCACTTTTGGGGCGCACGAATTTAACCGTCTGCAGGTTCGAAGTTGTTGCTTCGCCGGGCAACGCAACCAGCATGAATGCGCCTAGAAAATGCACGGAAGGCTACCGCGGTCATATTGGTGCGGAACCTAAACGCCTGCAGAACAACGCCAAGATGTGGATGCGATTCGACGACTTTAAACTGTACAGTAACCACCAACCACCACGGACCCAAGGCGAACCAGCAAATGTCTGTCAGTTCAGTCAGCTCCATCCATCCATTCGCCTTCCATTCGTTTCCCTCGCTGCGGCTTCTCGAATCTCTCGAACCCAACCAAACACACGCACCACCCTCTCCCTCCTCCTCCACCCCCACACTTAGGCCAATGGCGACACTGCAGAGCAACATCAGTGTGGTTGAGTCTGACGTGCGCTGCTTCTTATCGAACCACAGCCGTCGGATCGACTCTTCTTTTCCAGACAATGCAATGCTGCCCCTCTCCTCCTTCCCCCACAGCTGATCAGGCCAAGGAACACTGTCCTCTACCACTGTTTGCTGCCACTGTTTGCTGCCTCTGTTTGGATGGAGACAGCGAAGGTGAGTGGACTTCAAAACTCAAGGACAGTCCCGTAGGGTGAGAACAGCACGACTTTGTCCACTCTAAATTTGCTCTCCACACCGCACGAGATCGTGACTTGGAATGACGCGCATTATGGTATCTGCTACACGACGAGCAGTGATGCCGAAATAGAGCGAGACTGAACTGAGCCGTGCAACAACGCTCCCCATTCATGGCGACAGACACACAGCGACGGCCGAGCTCCATCTCTCGCCTAATCGCGCCGCCGCCGCTAGACCTCCCGGATTTCTCACACCAGCCACCCCAGCAGCAATGCTCTCCTCGCTTCCGCGCGCTCGCACCCTCTCCCTCTGCGCGCGACACAAACGATCCGAGACGCGCAGCCTCCAACCGCCATGCCACGCCTCGCTCTCCACTCGACTCTCGCCGGTCTGCTAGCGTGAATAGCGGAGAGACCTCGTCCGCGGCGTCGCCTTCCTCGCCTCGCCTTGCCTCCACCCCGGACTCCGCCGTGCCTGGTCGCTGCCGCGCGCGCCAAGGACCCGCGTCCCCGAGTGGCGGTCAGGGTGGTGCGCGCGCGGTGCATCTCTCCGCCCACGGCGACTCCCCCTCGTCGCGCTACAGAACCATGGTCGAGTCGAAGAGCTTTCCCGCCGCCACTTCGCCGCAACTGCCGGCGCCGGGCGCGCGGCTTCCTTCGTCGCAGAGCTGCGGCGCTGCCGTTTCGCAGCGCCCCGCTTCCCCGCACGCGCGCTCCCCGTTCTCTTCGCCGCGTACCGCTTCCCCTCGCCCCCCCTCCCCGTTCTCCTCCCCGCGTCACGCTTCTCCGCTTTCCTCTCCTAACGCCAACCATTCCGGAGCGCGGCGCCCGCCAAGCGATCAACAGTCCGCAAGGCTAGGCCCCTCGCCAGCAGAAGTCGCTTACGTGGACTGGTCGTCAACTGATGTGTCACCGTCGGGATTCTCACCCGCAGCGGCAGGCCCGCCGTCCCCGTCGACAGCAGGAGTGGCTGTAGCGGGGTTGCGGTCGCGGAGCCGGCTCGGACCAGGCTACAACCACGCGACAGCCGACGACGCAGCAGGCAGCCCTCGCTGCGCCTCACCCCACCATGCCCCTGCCGCTAGTCCCGGGGCCGTTTCCGCGTTAGCCCCTAGCGCAAACCGCACGGCACTAGGAGGTCCCGCTGCGGGCACGCAGGACTGCAACAATCCGCCGGATCCCGCGCGACAGCAGCCCAAGGCCACGTGGGGAAGCCCGCACGACGCGCACAGGCCGGTGTCCCCGAAAAGCCAACCGGTCCGCCGCTTTGCGCTTCCGCCGAAGCTGCTGTGCGGTTCCTTCTCCCCCTCCTCCCCGTCATCCCTCTCCCCCGCCACCCCCTCCCCAGTCCATCCCTTCTCCCCAGCCTCCCCTTCCGCCCGCAAACGCTCCGGCGCGTTTCCGCATTCCGCCTCTGCCCCTTTTTCTTGTCCCCCTTCCGCCTCCCCCGCATCTCCCGCCTCCCCCACGCCCTCCGCCTCCCCCACGCCCTCCGCCTCCCCCCCCTCCGCCTCGTGCTTCTCCTCCTCCTCAACCGCGTCGCACTCGCGATTCGCATCGCTGTCGCCAGCGTCGCCCCTGGGCGTGCTAAAGTCGCCGACGCCGCATTCCCCGGCGAGCAGGAGCGCGTCGCCGCAGCCCAAGAGCCCGCTGGGGCTGACGGCAGTCGCCGCGGGGACTTACACCAGCGCATGCGCTGCTAGTGCCGCCGGTGATAGCGCAAGCTGCAAAAGTGAAGGGACGTTTCGTCAGCAGCAGCAGCAGCAGGCGCAGCAGCAGCAGGCGCAGAGGCGGGGGGCGATCTCGGGGGCGCAGGGGCGGGCGTTCAGCATCGCGGACTTGCTGCGCCTCCACTCGCGCTCGCTCTCCTCCCGCGCTGCGCCCGATGCGCCAACCTCCGCCACCTCACCCGCGCGCGGGGACTCGGACGAGGCGGGCTCGTGGAGGGCCGACCCGCGCTTGCGAGGCGGGGAGGGGATGAGCGGGCAGGCGCAGCAGCGACAGGGGTCTCCCCAGCAGCGGCCGCGGCAGCGGGTTGGGGGGGATGGGCCGAGGAGACGGGCGATAGTGCGGTGTGTATCGGAGCAGGTGGAACGACGTAGTGCTTATAGCGGGGATGGGATGACGGGGCAAGGGGGAAGGGGAGGGGAGGGGGATGCGCGGAGAGCGAGCGCGCATGGGTGGGCGTCCGCCGACCTGGCACTCCGACTGCAGCGCGCCGTTGCCACTGCTGCTCGCGGCCGCTCGCCTGCTGCGCCCGCTGCGAGCGCCGCTGCTGTTGCTGCCGCCACTTGCGCCAACTCTGCTGCTGCGAGCGGCAATGCTGCTGCAAGTCATGGCGCTGTTGCTGATAGAAGGTTTACCAGTTCATCCGAGGACGCAGAAACTAGACACGGGGACGGGGGAGAGGGGGAAGAAGAGGAGTGCTTAGAAAGGGGGAGCGGCTGGAGCGTGGATGGGGAGGAGGAAGGAGAGGCGGAGGAGAGCGCGGAGAGGAGGGAGGAAGGCGGGTGGGAGGTGGCCCCGAGGCATGGGGAGAGGCCCGCGGAGAAGCACGAAGAGAGGCAGGGGGAGAGGCAGGGGGAGAGGCAGGGAGAGAGGAAACTGTGCAGCGGAAGCAGCAGCAGTAGTAGCGGCAGTATGCCGCTGTGCCCGGGCGCGTTTCTGGGCAGCAGCAGCTCGTTCAACGCGCGCCCGCGCTTTCCCGTCAACGCCTCCACCTCCGCCGCCGCCGCCGCCCTGGCCGCCGGGGGCAGCTGCCGGCGCAGCAGCAGCCGGCTGGCGCTCTCGGACCTGTACAGCAGCAGCCGCGACTCGCGCCCCGCTGGGCAAGGCACGGGCGCGCCCACTGGTGCCGCTAGCACCAGTGGCGGGGGGGGTGAGAGCGGGCGTGTGAGTAGCAAGGGGGGCAGCAGCATGGGGTGGGGCAGCAGGAGCGGGCGCGAGGTGTGGAAGGGCGCGAGGGACTCGCATGGCACGCAGTCCAGCCTGTTCCAGGGGGGAGGCAGCGGCAGGCTGCTGGGACTCACTCTCAGCCCGCTCAGGGCCAGGGGTGGCGCAGATGGGAAGAGTGGGCGGCAAGGTGATGGCAGGGGGTTGAGCGGGCCTCTTTCCCCGGCCGTTGTGCCGCGCTTGCCTTCCAGTGTGGGCCTGCTGCCCTTCCCCACCACCGCTGCTCCTCCTGCTCCTCACTCGCCCATGCTCGTGCCTGGGGCTGCCTTGCCTGGTTCGCCGTTGCCGTACCAGAGAGGGAGGCTCGGGAGAGAGGCGTGGCAGCAACAGCAGCAGCAGCAGCAGCAGTTGGGGCAGCAGCAGGAGCAGCGGCAGCAGCATAGCCAGCAGAGTGAGGTGCATAAGCAGCAGCACGTCACGACGAGCCTGCACCAGCACACACATGTGTCGTGTGTTGGCTTCAGTGTCAGCACGGTCAAAAGCACAAGCACACACGTTGCAACCACACACGCCACAGTCACACAGCAATGCTCCAGCAGGGCCACCTCAGAAGCAGCAGCAGCAACACAAGTCCACCAGTCCCCAACAGCCACGACGCCGTTGGTTGCCAAGCCTGGCAGCGAGGCTCGGGAAGCCAAGGGAGCTCCTGACGGAAGCCAAGGGTCAGAAGAGCAGGCTCGGCAGCAGCGGGTGTGGAAGCAGTCAGAGCGGGCAGCGGAGCGGAGGAGGAAGGCACGGGCGAGTGACTTTGTGCTGAGGAAGCCGTATGCCGACATCCGCGAGGAGTACGTGGTGGCCCGCAAGGAGATCGGCAGCGGGCAGTTCGGCATCATCCGCAAGTGCGTGCAGCGGCACACAGGGCTCACGTTCGCGTGCAAGACGATCGCCAAGGCAGGCATTCTGACGGCGGAGGATGCGGAGGACGTGCGCAACGAGGTGGGGTTCCTGGAGGAGCTGCGCGGCCACCCGCACATCGTGGCCGTGCATGCCACGTTTGAGGACGACGACAACATCCACATTGTGATGGAGCTCTGCAAGGGTGGCGACCTCTTTGACCGCATCAAGCTGCGCGGCCGCATGCCTGAGCGCGCTGCTGCTGCCATCTGCAAGTCGCTGGTGGGTGTGCTGCTGCACTGCCATGCGCGCGGCGTGCTGCACATGGACGTGAAGCCCGAGAACGTGCTCATGTGTGACCGCTCTGACGACACCCACATGAAGCTCATCGACTTTGGCGTCGCCACGCGGTTCACTGCAGGCGTGCCGTGCCGGGAGGTGCTGGGCACGCCGGAGTACATCGCCCCGGAGGTGCTCAAGGGCGCGTACGGCCCGCCCGCTGACCTCTGGAGTGCTGGCGTGGTGCTCTATGTCATGCTGGCCGGGGCGCCTCCCTTCTGGGAGCGTGCGAGTAAGACGCTCAAGGAGTCCATTCTGGGGGATGACGTGCCCTTCACCCAAAGCAAGTGGGGCGACCGGTCGGCGGAGTGCAAGGAGCTTATAAGGAGGATGCTTGACAAGGATCCAGCCACGAGGATCACAGGGAAAGAGATTCTTGGTGAGTGTGGAGAAGGACAACACATTCTCAACTCTACTCACATGGTCAGACAAAAACTCGCCAGGAAAAGATGAAACACATTACCCCTTTAAGTTCCCCCACCTCCTCTTCCCATCACCTCACCTCCCACACACCTATGCAATGCTGTGCCTCTACGCAGCAACTCCCTAACCTTGGTCTCTCCATCTCCCTCTGATGTCCGCCCGTGCAGAGCACCCTTGGATCAAGATGCACACAGGTGCCAGTTGAAGCCCAGGGGCAGCATGGTGATGGCACGTGGCAGGGAATTATATTCTAGGTAGTTCAGCTGTAGTATGTGAGAAAGGATATTGTGGGTGTCACAGATGCCACTGGTAGATCGGATTAGATAGGATCATGAAAGTGATGTTCCTACATTCTGTTCTTGTCAAAGATAAGAACATTCTGTATTGTTTAGTCCTGTAAGGAATTTTCTCGGCATTCCTTACGGAGCCCGACTACATCGCGTACAGCAACAGCCGTTGTTCGCCCGTTACTGCTAACGGGACTTCGCCAACTCCGCGCGCACTGTTTCGCCACACCTCGCACTGCTGGCCCGGCCGTGTCGGCCTACGCTTCGGGACTAGCCCGAGCCTCGCTGCCAGCATAGCACTAGCTAGCTCGCACGCACCGCGTTACCGTTTGCATGTTCGCGTATAAATGTTCGCCCATGGCTTCGCTCACATCTTTGTACTCGTTTGACACCTTAGTGCAATTCTCGCTACCTAGATTCATTGCACCCGTAACACTACTCCCGATAATGGAGTTTTCTTTACGCCTGAGGTACACCTTCGAGGGCGGTTGCGTGAAGGTGACGACGTGGCTTCGCCAAACCAAACACATGCCCCAACAAGCAGGCGAAACGAATTCTTGTTCCGAAACGAAGACCTTGCTGCTCGCGAAAGTCCATGACGAGCATTCGATTGGCTCATCACTCGGAGCGGAAGAAAGGGTGCGTGACTTCGATTGGACCCATGACTAACGGTGTCAACCGCAGTGCACCGTTCTGTCACACTTGTCTAGCAAAGCACCCCGTCATTACTGGGCTCGAAAAGCTCATTGCATATGTGGGGTTCAAAGCTTGGGAGTTCACTCTTGGGCTTCCCTCACCTCATCCTTGGCATTCGTAACCCACGTGTCTTCCGAGCTCTGCCTCCGCGTTGTAGATCACAAACTCGTGCTCGATTCCACGAATCTGACATTTCGACGATGGGCTCGGGACTGACGCTCTACGGCCACGTGCACTCGCCGTTCGTGCGTCGCGTGCTGCTGACGCTCTACGAGATGGGCGTCGAGGTGAGCGCAATGGCCAGATGAGCGTCGAGGCGCGATGAAGAATCTCGACGTCGATTTGTCAAATTCGTTCGTTCTGCCACGGACGTCTCTAATGTTTGCGATGTGATTCGTGAGTGCGCGGCGGCATTCATCCATCATAGATGTCATGGCGCTGCAGCATCGAGTTACGCGAGCACCGTGTTTCCCCATCCCCCGCAGGATTTCGAGATGAAGGTGGTGAACACGAGCAAGGGCGACAACAAGACGCCCGAGTACCTCGCCATGAACGTGCGTGGGTCGAGTATATGCAAGCATGTCTTAGCGGGGGTAAGGGATGACTGTGATGCGTCGCGGCAATACGACCAGTGTGTGTATAGCGATAAGGAGTAGCGGGAGTGCTGTACCATCCAGTGACAAAGGCGTGGAGATGCCATGGCATGGCGCTAGTTGCGAATGTTGTTGGTGCAGAATGCGAGGCGCCGAGGCAGGGTGGGTGTGGCAGTGGCGGGTGGGTGCGATGGTGGCAGGTACAGTCGTGTCGTGTTCCCCTCCTCCCTTCATATGCACTCATTCTCTCAAATCCATCTCACTTCCGCCCTCCGCATCGCCCCGTGCTCCTCCCCTTTGCTCCCGCGGGCAGCCCTTCGGCAAGATGCCAGTGCTGGACGACAACGGCCGCTACCTCTATGGTGCGTGCCCTCACATGTCCGCCAATCTCGCCAATTACTGTAATAGATCACTTCTCTTTTCCCACCTGCTAGCGTCTGAGTGGTTTGCTTGTGCAAGGTCAGTCATTCACTACAATTGGTAACCAACCGGTGCCGAATATTCATTCAAGCATCCCTTGCCTGCAACGTGCAGAGTCGCGCGCCATCATGCGGTACATAGCGGAGAAGTACGCGGAGGGCAAGGCGGACCTGGTGGGGGGCGACGTGTGGGAGCGCGCGGAGGTGAGCCAGTGGACGGACGTGGAGGCGCACAGCGTGACGGAGCAGGTGGCCGTGGTGGTGGAGGAGAACTTTCTTAAGAAGCTCATGGGCAAGGGGGAGCCTGACAAGGCGCGCGCTGATGCAGCCGTTGAGAAGGTGAGAGATGGGATGGCGGTGGGGAGCATGGCTGCCAGGGGGAGTGGATGGGGTATAAGGTGGGGAGAGGGGGAGGTTGAGAGGATTGGGAGAAGAAAGCGGATATGGACTTGCTTTGGTTCACCCTCGAGTTGCCTCACCACGCACCCAATGCTTGGCCCCCCTGCTCTCCCCCTCCCACACCTCACAACCACTCCAATGCCCTCTCAACCCCCTCGCCTGCCCGTGCTGGCCCTGGCAGCTGGGGCGGCTGTTTGACATCTACGAGAAGCACCTGCAGGGGCGCGAGTACCTGGTGGGCGGGCGCTGCACGCTGGCGGACCTCACGCACCTGCCCTACACCGAGATCCTCTTCCATGCCGGCGCCGCTCACCTCATCACATCACGCCCCAACGTGGCGCAGTGGTGGGAGCGCATCTCCTCCCGCCCCGCCTGGAAGAACGTGCAGCAGCTCGAGCCCATCCCCGCTTGAGCCACGCCCGTTTCTTCAGGCTTCATGTTTTGGCGTGGAGTGTTGAAACGGCTTGTAGAAGAATGCGCAGGTCGGATCACTGCATGTGCGTCCCAAACACTCAAGGGGCACGGGCTGCACAATCATGCATGGTGGGTACACATAGTGCCCACCTCAGAGACGATGCTGGGCATAATGATCGATCCCTCTGCAGTTTATATACCGTAGAGTGTTGTGCTTGGAGTTGGTGCATGGTGAGCATACTGATTCTTCCAGGGTTGACAACAGCTTGCGCTTCTTGGCTGCTGCCACGCGTCACATTGACAGAAAGTGAATGACACTGGCTTAAGGAGAATGCCCCGGCTAAAGTTTCTATGTTTGACACAAGCAAAAAGCATACAGTGCTAGCAGGGGTCCTGGTGAGGCTGCGTGGAACGTGCAGCATGCAGAGGTGGGGAGTGCAGCAGGGCGGCTCCAGCAGGAGTGCAAAGCATGGCACACGGGGAGGGAGAGCCATTTTACAGGAGCACTCCACCACGACCCCGACCCACAACGCTGCACGCCTACAGCAGCAGGCGCCTGTTTGGGCGGTGCCTTGCCACCGCCTCCTCACCGCCTGCCCTGCCCTTACCACTCTCCATCTCCTCCTGCCCACCTGCCATGCCCCCCTCGCTGCTTGCCTGCACTGCATCCATCGCCCATGCTGCTGCCACTCCCATCTCGCCTCCTGCGTGGAAGCTTCCTTGCTGCTCTGCTGGCACCCGTGCCTGCTTGCTGCGCTGCCTCCCACATCCCCCCTGCTGCTCTTCTTGCTGCCTCCCACATCCCCCCTGCTGCTCTTCTTGCTGCCTCCCACATCCCCCCTGCTGCTCTTCTTGCTGCCTCCCACATCCCCCCTGCTGCTCTTCTTGCTGCCGCCCTTGCCCATTCTCTCTCTGCTGCTGCTCTGCCTCCGGCACTGCCTCTGCACGCACACACTCACGCCCCTCCTCTTCACCACTGCGCACCACCATCGCCATCTCCGCCTCGCCTCCTCTCTCCTCACCCACCTCACTCCCTCCCACCTCATCCCTCTCTAACTCATCCCCCCCTCTTCCTCGTCCCCTCCCCACTGCCGCAATGCCTCTCCTCTTCCCGCCACCCGCCCCTTGCATTTCCCCTACACCCGTGTCCCCACCCCTCTCACCCCCATCGCTGTGCCCTCGCCTCCTCCCATTGCCACTGCCACGCTTCCTGCTCGTCCCATCCACCCCCTGCTGCTGCACACCACCGCTCAGCACCGAGCACTTGCTACAGGCGGCTGTGCCAGTGGCCGTGCTGCACTGGGTGCGTTGTGCCATGACCCGCCGGCTGCGCCGCACGCCCACGCCCGCCACACCGCACTGCACACACACCCCGCCATCACCGCTGCCTGCTGCAACACCAGCGCCATCCCTGGCTGCTGACACCTCTCTGGCAGTGCGCACCACACCGGCTGTTGCTGCATGCCTGCGTGATTCGCCACTTGTTCCGCCTCTCCCTGCACCCCCCTCGTCTACCCCGCCACCCCCCTCTGCCTCACCAGGGGAGCGTGTGGCCGGGCTGGTCGACCGACCGTGTGAGCGGCGCCTGCCAGCACGGCGGCGCTGAGCGCTCACCATCACACCACTGCCGCCACCACCACCACCCGCCTTGCCCTCCACCGCATCACCGCCCCCACCGAGACTCGCCTCACCCCCACCTCCCCTGCCCCCCGCGGCAGCGCCCCCAGCCATGCGCATGTTGTGGCCCGTGATGGCATGGTAGCGCGCCGGGGGCAGGTGTGCCATGGGGCCAAACACCCGCTCGTACTCCCCCCACACCTCCCACCTGCCATGACGCCCCCGCACCGCGACATACGCAGAGCACAGCAGGTGCAGGGAGTGAGCAGGGGCAAGTGGAAGCAGTGTGAGGGGCGTGAGAGGAAGCAGTAAGTAAGCACCCGGCATGGTGGTGGCACGTGTCCCACGTGTGCTCTGCCTGCCATGGACTCGCTTCCACCATGCCGTATGCACAACGCACGGTGTGAGGGGAGGTGTAAAGAAGCAAGGAGGGCACATCATGTGGGCATGGCGCAGGGCAGCTTACCAGTAGGCGAGGAACTGGAAGGGCGCATGGGCAGCGTATGCTCTTGCTGCCAGTGCATCCACTGTGCTAGCCGTGCACCCCGCATGACCCCTCGCCTGCACCATGGGGAGGAGGGGCAATGAGGCACACGTGCTATGCTATTGTGTTGTGTGGAGTAGTCTAGTGTTACGATATATACTATGAACTTTCTAAAGATGGTCTATTGCTTTGCGGCTTAATCCTATACTGCAGCATTTGAGTAGCAAATCGTCAAGGTCGCAATCGGCATGGTATGGCATAGCATGGCATGGCATGGAATGGTATGGAAATGGGGGCATGTCATGGCACAAGAGGTTGCTTCGTTTGCCACCTTGGCGGGCGGCACAGACCTGGGCGGGCGGCACAGACCTGGGCGGGCGGTACAGACCTGGGCGGGCGGCACGCACCTTGAGGTGGCGGATGGTTTCCGAGTCAGCGGGCACGAAGCAGAAGACGCCCATGCACTGCAGCGCGTTGGCCGATGAGAACGGGCCAAAGCCAGGCAGCTGCTGCACCCTCTGCCTCACCGCCTCCTCCCACCGCACCTCCCCTGCCTTGCCCGTCCCACCCCCCCCTCTCTTCCGCGTGCCTGCTCTCCTCCTTCCCCTCATGGCGCTGTGAGTCGGCGCCGCACTGCCATGGCAGGGCGCGGCCTCGCGTGCTGCACGGCTGTCGTCACGAATCACAGGCGTCCGCTTCTCCCCTGCTGCCTTCACTCCCTTCAACTCGCGCCCATTCTCGTCCCAACTCCTCCCTCTCTTCCTCCTGCCAGCCCCTCTCCTCGCATCCACTCCCACGTCGCCTGCCCCTCGCATGTCCTCGCCCTCGCCTGTCTGCTCGCCGCCCGCCCTACCTCCCACACCCGCCTGCCCTGCCACCTCCCTCTCTGCACCTACTGCTGCCATGTCACAGCCGCTTGGCGGATTCTCCAGCAGACAGTCCCTCTCGAGTGCTTCCAGGTCAATGGCACCAGATGCCACGTCAGCTGCCAACCTGGCAATCCGAGAGCCTCGGTACCCCAACCCGCACCTGCTAGTTAGGTACGAAATCTCCAGGCCTGCGAGCTCGTGAGGCTCGGGAAAAGCACCAACACACTCAGGCGAATCTGCAAGAGGCAGTAGGAGAAAGGAGAAAGAGGGGTTACGGCGCAAGAGAGAGGTGATGCAGCAGCGGGGCGATGGAAGTGCTTCATGGCAACAAGAGCCACAGCAGCGCCTGGCGTGACGCCACCCACCCGCTTGCCTCTCAGAGGACCTCCCTCATCGCCTCGTCTCCCTCCATCCACCTCCGCCGCACTAGTCGAGTATGGAGTGGTGCCGTGGCAACGGACAAGCACGGGCGCCCATGCCGTGCGATGAAAGAGGGTGTGAGGGCTTGAGGGCTTGAGGGCTTGAGGTCTTGAGGGCTTGAGGGTTTGAGGGCTTGAGGGCTTGAGGGCTTGAGGGCTTGAGGGCTTGAGGGCTCACCGCGCGCGCCGAGGGGAGGGCCGAAGTGGTGGCGGTGCAAGAGGCACAGCTCGCGTGCCATGGCCAGACTCCTGCCCCACCCGCCTGCACACCGCACCGCACCGCACCGCACAGCACAAGAGAGGGTGGCGGGCTATTAGGATTGGGGTGCTTGGTAGGTTGAAGAAGAGACAGGAGACGAAGAAGACACAGGAGACGAAGAAGACACGGGAGACGAAGAAGACACAGGAGACGAAGAAGACACAGGAGACGAAGAAGACACAGGAGACGAAGAAGACACAGGAGACGAAGAAGACGCAGGAGACGAAGAAGACACAGGAGACGGAGAAGACACAGGAGACGAAGAAGACACAGGAGACGAAGAAGACACAGGAGACGAAGGACGGGGAAAGGAAATGGACAAGAGGAAGGGACGAGAGAGACGATGGGAATAAGGGGGCAGTCGGTCGGGTACCTAGAGAAGTGCAGCCTTGCTGCGGCAGCAGAAAACCCCCTGTTAGAGATGTGGGGGGAGGCACCGTCCCTAGGGGACTGCCTCACAGTGCTAGACCTTCACTCACAGTTGCAGCTGCACCTTCACTCACAGTTGCACAGCAGCTGCGCCTTCACTCACAGTTGCACAGCAGCTGCGCCTTCACTCACAGTTGCACAGCAGCTGCGCCTTCACTCACAGTTGCACAGTAGCTGCGCCTTCACTCACAGTTGCACAGCAGCTGCGCCTTCACTCACAGTTGCACAGCAGCTGCGCCTTCACTCACAGTTGCACAGCAGCTGCGCCTTCACTCACAGTTGCACAGCAGCTGCGCCTTCACTCACAGTTGCACAGTAGCTGCGCCTTCACTCACAGTTGCACAGCAGCTGCGCCTTCACTCACAGTTGCACAGCAGCTGCGCCTTCACTCACAGTTGCACAGCAGCTGCGCCTTCACTCACAGTTGCACAGCAGCTGCGCCTTCACTCACAGTTGCACAGTAGCTGCGCCTTCACTCACAGTTGCACAGCAGCTGCGCCTTCACTCACAGTTGCACAGCAGCTGCGCCTTCACTCACAGTTGCACAGCAGCTGCGCCTTCACTCACAGTTGCACAGCAGCTGCGCCTTCACTCACAGTTGCACAGCAGCTGCGCCTTCACTCACAGTTGCACAGCAGCTGCGCCTTCACTCACAGTTGCACAGCAGCTGCGCCTTCACTCACAGTTGCACAGTAGCTGCGCCTTCACTCACAGTTGCACAGCAGCTGCGCCTTCACTCACAGTTGCACAGCAGCTGCGCCTTCACTCACAGTTGCACAGCAGCTGCGCCTTCACTCACAGTTGCACAGCAGCTGCGCCTTCACTCACAGTTGCACAGTAGCTGCGCCTTCACTCACAGTTGCACAGCAGCTGCGCCTTCACTCACAGTTGCACAGCAGCTGCGCCTTCACTCACAGTTGC